AATTACTCATTTTCCCCCCATTTCATTATTTTCCAAAAACTATTTCACCCCTTCTCTCTCATTTGGCGGGTAAGGTTTCACAGTTTTCTTCTTCGTTGGGTTTCAAAGTGGATATTCGTGGTTATAGGTTAGTAAACTTTTTTCTTATTGTATTGTGTTTACAATCACGAAAATCCATTTTGAAACTCAGCTATGAAGAAAGTTATGAAACCTTGGCCGCGAAATGACGGGAAAGTTGGTAAAATTCTAACTATCATACTTTGAAATCATAAACGTAATAAAATAAGAAAAAATATTTACTAACCTACAACCATGAATATTCACTTTGAAACTCAACCTCGAAGAAAGCTGCGAAGCCTTAGCTGCGAAATTAGGGAAATGTTGTGAAATCCTAACTATCATGTTTTGAAATCGTAAACATAATAACATAAGAAAAAATATTTACTAGCCTACAAGCATGAATATCCACTTTGAAACTCAGCCACGAAGAAAAGTATGAAATCCTAGCTGCGAAACGAGGGAGAACGAGTGAATATATCATTTCTGAAATAATGAAATGAGGGGGGAAGTAACTAGGATTTAGAAATTTAGTCGAAGTGATAGTGGAACCTTATTGACATGCAATGTGGCATCCAGATGTCATTTAACAACTTCTGTTGATAAGAAGAGTACCTTTGATTCAGTAGTTTAACGGGAAGGGTAGTTTTGAGCCGAAATATAGTTTAAGGATAAATATGAACTATTTCGAATAGTTTAAGGGTATTTTTGGCCCTTTCTATTTTTGTCTATGTGGCAGTGGAATTCTATTTGGCATGCAATGTGGCATCCATATGACATCTATGAGGCATTCAACAATTTCCGTTAATAAGAAGGGTATTTTTGACCCAATAGTATGTCGAGAAGGGTAGTTTTGAGCCGAAATAAAGTTAAACGATATATATGAGCTATTTCAAATAGTTTAGGGATATTTTTGAGTCTTTTACATTATTTGCTACTATAAATAATTTGCATGCACTGCTCTATTCTTATAGGACACAATTACTATTTAAAAAGTGAAAGGAATTTTTCCTTGTCCATCAATTGTTTCATATACTTTTAAATATTTAAAACAATTGTTAACTATCATAATCTAAAGTATATTTACGTAACTTTAAATTTTAATTTAAAAAACATAAAGATTGTATTTGAAACTTCTCACCCAATAAATAGGTAATTTGATTCTTGCAATGAAAGGGACAAAGACACGAAGTACTATAGTATTATTATTGGTCCTGGTTTTCGAGTTGAACAGACTAAAATCTTTTGTTTGGGTAATGAAGGCTACCAACTTTGAATTGATCGATGAAATAAATGATAAATAAGTACTCCATCTAATTGTCTTTATTTACTAATTAAATTAAATGTTATTATCATTTAAACTAACTAAAGAGAATAGTATTATAGTAAATCGTATCATGCACATGGTACTAGCTAACACACCTGGTTTTTTTAATATATCGTTTGGATCATACATGCACATGCATTGATTAATTTTAAAAATTAACTTCAAATGTACTCGTAATTAGTGATAGATTTAGAAATTTTTATTTAAAAAATTGAAAATTAAAAATATAATATTCGAGATTTGAATTTGGATTCTCAAGATGCACTAAATCAACTTCTAATTTTATGTTTAAGAAATTCAATTTTTATATATATTTCAATATAATTTAAATTTGGGATGAATCACATCCAACCATATATCATGTGAATTTTGTTCTTTCTCTTTCACACATAGTGTCGTTTCAATCATTCAGTGTTGGTTAGTAATTGTTTCTTGTGGCATATTTAGTTCTTTAAAGGGATGTGAGGGTATCACAAATCTTTTCGATCAAAAAATTATATTTTTATTTTTCGAATCATCAATTCAAGTGAATTATGAGGTTAGTCTTCTCTAATTAACTTGATTCAAAGTGTTTATTAGTTATTTGTTAATTTCAGAACTGATCCTATTAGTACATGATTAATATTAGCTAATTTACATCAATATTAACTGCTTCTTAGTAGCATTTATTTTTATTTGTTTAGAGAGTATAATATGTTAATAGAGGATATTGCCTTATTTTGATTTTAATTTTTGTGTTATTTGATTAAGTATTTGTCTCTTGGGTTGTCATTTTCTTTTGGCTGGTTTTAAATATATACAATAAAAAATAATTACTTAGTTTACAATAAATATAGTCATGTTTTATTTACATAAGAAATAATCAAAAATCTAGGAAGTATACATTGATTATACAATACAACTCTCCAAAGTCATAAAAAGTACAGTATAAATTAACTATGCAATATAGTTACCTATACATGAGTTGCACACTCTATATATTATGATACACTCAAAAAACTAACTATAGCCTAACTTTATAGAAATATATACAGATTATACATTATAATACACTCAAAAAGCTAAACATAAAATAACTATACATGTGATATATACTGAATATACATGAAGTATATATTGACTATTTATTCTTGATCAACTCAAAATCACCTTTATACTGTCCCAAATTTTAAATATAAAGTCTCAACCATTTTTTTGGAAAAGAAAAAGGGTGGAAATCTTGATTAAATCCGCGGGATACTTATCACCTTACTTCACCACTAGGGGCGGACCCACCTTTACTCAAGGGGTGTCAAGCACGTTCTTTTATCAAAAAATTATATTATATATAGATATCAAATTTATATATATATATATATATATAACCTGAGACCTCATAGTTCTCGACCACTTCATTGACCATTAGGTCACACCCTTGGATGCCCCTTAGGTGCTAAATGTGGTCACAACAAGTACCAGTTAACTCTATCCACCAAAGCTAAAACAGGTGAAAATAATCATTTAGGTCACACCCTTAAGTGCTAAATGTGGGCATTTCTAAATCCAGATTCGCGCCAAGAAGTTCCACAATGGAGGATAAAACACTTTCTAACAAAAGCGACTCTATATCCAAGGGGCTTGAAGTCGAGACCTTTTGACTAAGGATGACTGAATACTTATCACTCTATCACAATCTGATGTATATAAAAACAGTTAGTCCACTTTAAAAAAGTAGTATGGTTGCATCATTGGGATACTAGTGGAGTGGTAGTACATATTGGGCTAACGAAATTATTAACAGAGACGCAATAATTAAGAGGGATTTGAGAAAGCTTTATGGATCACATGGCATCATTGGATGTTTCTTTATTAAAAGGAAAAAAGAAACTATTTAGCCAAAAGGAAGTGCCCTAACCATTCCTACGTGTAGTTGCCTTATCGGAGAGAAAAAAAGAAGAAGAGAAATCACTTGACACACAGGAAAAGAACATCCATCTACTTTCCTCATTTTGCTTAATAAGTCCAAAAAAACAAAGTTATTTCGATAAACGAAATGAATTATATGATTCAATGAATTAGATCGGATTAAAATTGAATATTTTGAGTTGATTTGAAATTTTTCATTCAATTGAGAAATATAATAATGAAATTAGTAATGACGAGATAAGAAAAAACTACATTTAATATTAAAGACATAATCCACTAATAAAATAAAATTACTAAATATTTTTAACTTTTTATTGCCTTTTGTTTATTATATTTTATTTAGTCCCTTCAATATTTGTCTTAACAAATAAATGTCGAGACAAGTAAAGAAAGGACATCGACAAACATGTGCAAGTAGTGTCAAGTTATGTATTAGGTTTATAATCGACAATTAAAGTCACTCCACTTATTTTATTTCGTGTGATATTTTTTTTAGTTTTACTCAAACAACAATATTAGTATAAGTTTTATTTCGTTGTTACTAATATTGTTTTATAAATATTAAATATAACGAAACGTTAAAAATTTTAAATTTTAATTTTTTATTAATTTAATCCCAAACATATCTACATTCTCTCCCTTTACTATTTTAAATATAGATTTTTACTTTTATTATATCTCGAGAAAGCAAAGCAATATTAATGTCCTCCTTCCGTTCAGTTTTTTACTCGGGAGCAAATCTAGAAAGGTCCAAGGGGACATGACTTTGTTGGAAATTTTTTTTATATAATAAAATTAAAGAACAAAAAATAAAAAAGATATCTAAAATATAGTGTAATTTTTGATAATAAAGTGTGCGCGATTGAGTTAGTCAATTTTTAATTCCTTTCAGAGGAACGCGAGTTTGAAACCCCTTGATAAAGTTTATTCAATATACATTTTAGGAGCGTCAAGTTATTTAATTTATTTTTTCTTTTCTTGATTTTTATATATATCTATCTATCTATATATATACATACTTAACACTATTATTTTTAAAGAATTTATTTTCAAGATGAAAATTTAAGTTAATATATTTTTTATTTTGAAAAAATATATAATAGTATAGATTAATTGTTTCTTTAATATATATATATATATATATATATATATATATATATATATAT